CCCCCGGCCAGGAGCCGGGGAGAGGGGGCAGTGCCCTCCTCCCTTCTCTCCTCACCCCTGGGCAAAGCACCTTTTCCGGTTCCTTTGTCCCAACTTAAATAGGGCAATTCGCAAAGGCGCCAATTGGCTCAACCCCGAGGGGGATGGGAGTCCGATCTGGTGGCCAGAGACGGGTCTGATCCGGTTCCGAAAACAGGGAAGTCAAAGGGAGCAAATCCCCTCTTCTGCCACCAGAAACCCCTTTACACAAACCCAACACACATGTCTAAACTGAAACCATGTTATCTCTATTGGTGGCGCTACGAATGGTGAGAGGATCTCTGGGCAGATTGATTAAATCTAGTTATGTATGTGCCATCTTCAGACTGTTTAAAATGTTGGAGGGAAGGAGAAAAAAGATAACTGATGGATCTGTTTATTTGATATTTTCAGCTTCTAGCAAAAAATTAGCAGCAAAAAAAAAAGTTTCTTTGTGTATATTCAGAGACTCAAAAAGCCTACTTTAAACCCTTATTTAGTACTATATTTAATATACATGGTGCAAAAAGAGAAATAGGCTTTAGAAGGAAGATTATTTTCCATTTTATGCCTGAATAACATCCAATAGAACAATCTGGCCATGAGTAACTTTTGTAGGTACAATACATGATCATGCTAATAGAAAAAGAAGATCACAGTAACTGTGCAAAGAAATCCTCACCTTACTGGATACTCATATGCCTCAGTGTTAACCTAGAGGGCCAACCACTACAGAAGAAATCATCCACACTGGCATTTCATGCTTGGAGGCAACGTCAAGTTTGCTAGCAGAGGTGCTAATCATTGCCAGTTGTCATTACAGCTCTGTCTTGAAGATGCTCAGTCACTAGGAACTGGTCCAAACCCTCTAACAGGATGTAGAGAAGTCTTCTGGCGTTATTTATATTACAGCCTGGTTTCCAACATGAAGTGCACATCACTGTTTGTAACGGAAAATCAGCTGCTTTGCTAGCTACGTAGTGAAGTGCACATGATGGGGAGAGTAAAACAGTCATCACACGATCATTTGGCTTAAAGAATGTGAATTCAGTATGTGTTTGGATGCTGAGTGCTGGAGGAAGAAATAACCAAGTATGACAGTATGGTAATGAAACTCAGGCTGCATCTCTGAAGAGATGCATGTACAAATAGTGTATATCACAGGACAGAGAGGAGGTGAAGTTTAGGTGAAAAAATGAATTCTGCCACAGAATGTCCAATGCTCTTGCCTTCCAAGCACTTTTAATCACTTTATTCTCTCTGCTCAGCTGCTTGAGGTTAGGATGGGACTTTAAAATCTGCCATAACCAAAGCAGTTATTAAGAGAATGATGTAATTCCCTGAGTGAAAGAGAGTATTTCCTATCACAGGGCTCAGCTTTTTATCTCCCTAGGCTTTATGGTGAAGAGCTCCTTCTTCACAAACCAGCTGGCTCTTCCCCATCCTCCAAGGCCATTCAACTAGTCAGTTGCACTGGTCATTGTAAAACCAGCACCCTTTCCCCTCCAGGTATACGATTCTTAGTTTCTTTTGTCTACACTTTTATAGATAAGACTATAAAAGACAATGTGCAGCCCTTTCCCAGGCCTTCGTAGTCAGAGTTGCAGTAAAGTAAGGGCATAATATTCACAGCATTACATCTCGACACTGTAACCAGCCAGGACATGAGGATGCCTTTTAAAAAGCTAAAATATTCTGAAAATTCTGCATTTCAATGATTTATTATTTAAAAACATCCAGAAAAAATGTACTGCTGTTACTGTGTGACATTCGAAATTGTAAAATTTGTGGTCTTTAAAAGATTCAAATTTAATGGGAATAGATGTTGAACTCGGAGAAAATGTCGTGCAAAACAAAAGGACAAGTTAATGCAACTGTTAATAATATACTATGAGTGCAAGAAGTCTTGTATTTCCCCTCTCTACAAGTGAGATTTAATTCAAAACGAACTTTCAGATTCACTCACTTAAGGTTTTCGAGTGTGGAGAATTTAACACCCTCATTTTCTTCCAAAAATAGCTACATTTTTCATTAAGACGAAGAACAGCAGTTAACCTTTATCTGCATGCAGCCATTTCAAACATGCTGCATGCTTTTCACTCTTGCACCATTGCTTTGGTTTATCTGGTCTCTTGGAGATGCAGCCCATATATAACAGGCTGTCCTATTTGTTCAGGCACAAAGGAGAAAAAAAGAAATATTGCATTGAAGTACCTTGACTTAAAGATTTTTACTCTTAGCAAGGCCTTCTAAACATACCATAACAACTCTAATTTTTCTGCACGACTAACAAGACCTTGGTATTTAAACCCCAGTTTCCAAGACAACAAAGTCTGGAACTTAATTTATCTGAGTTGGAAGACAGAAGGGCTGAATCCGAGTTGCAGACACCTGAATCTATGGTCACACAAACATAGGAAACATGGATTTGAGATCGGAGACAGCTTCCAAACAAAACTCTGGCAACCACCAGTGGCAAGAAGAGCGAGAGTAATTTTCAAAACTAATAGATTTTAGGAACACATTGATTTTAAGAGAAAAATGGACCATTTTCAGAATTTCCAGTCTGTTCTGTAGCACAGGAAGTAAGACTTCCCAGGACTAATTTTTTTCTAATACGGTATCTCTACTACATATAGAGCATATTCTTCACTTCATTCATCTAATTCAGATGAATTCTCACAGTGTAGAAGAATCTTTCACAATCATGGACAAATCACACAGTAAATATATACTTTCTCTTTTAAGATGCATGCTTTATTTCTAATATGAACTCGATGACTTTCAGTTTCCAATTATTGGATTTTTTTTTTTTTTTAAACTATCTCTCTGGCTGCTAGACTGAATATCTTGCTGTAAACAAGTTATTTTCCATCAATATAATTTTGTTTTATCTTTTGTAACTGCAGTGCAAAAATGCAAATTATGCATGTATAAGTCGTAAAATGGCATATATATGCAGATTTATAAATGCTATTTGCTTAATATTTCACCAGTTCAAATATATTTGATAAAGATAGAAACACCACTACTGTACAGTACTGTATGAACTTAAAAAAAAAAAGTAAGATGCAATTATAAGAATTTCAGGACTGTAAACATCAAATCAAGCTAACCTTGTAACGAAAGGAACGAGACTGAAAAGATATTCCTCCATTTTTTACTACAAAAATACCCTCTAATTCTAAAAGCGAAAGAAAAAAAAAGCCCTTATAATATGCTTTTCTATTCAACTCCATGCTATTCTGTACATTTGTTTTTGTACAAAAGCAGTTGCAGCCTTTTAATGATTTACAGTAAAAACTCTCTAAACTCAACCTGACAGCAAGAGGCAGTCAATATAGACAATGGACCTCAGAGCACCCTTTGGAGATAGGTTATTTAAAAAGATGGTGGGATTCTGCACCAAGTCTAGTCTTCCAGAAGATCTAAGATGTAGCACCACTTTGGATTTCATCACAGTGGCTAATCCATAGGTGATAATGGCTAAGCCTACATTGACAAGCGTGGAAGAGCAGAAGAGGATTCATACATCCACACAGTTGGGGCTCAGGACCCCACATTTCCACCACTCTCATTTCATTTTTATTTAGACTCGCTGCAGGCTTCTCCCACAGACTGAAAGTCCCTTAATGATAGAATAGAAGTGCATTTAAGATGCTTCTAGAGCGCATCTCCCAGGACTACCCTAAAGAATGGAGTTCATATGCTCTAAGACTGTAACATGAACTAAACATGTCAAGAGGGAACAACTGGAGATTTGCGCCAAAAGTGCACTTCTGATCCAAACAAATAGAACACTAATGCTGACGTAGATGCAACTTACTGTGAGGTTGCCAATAGCAAAGGTCATGTGTGAAAAGAGAAGACTGGCCTGGGAGATGCATAAGAATGAGAAAAGGTGCCAGTGTGATTCTTCTTAACTGTAGAGAGGGTTTCTTTCTAATAACGGAGGGAATTTCATTAGCAGCTATGGAAAAACAAAGTGTAATTTGATCCCTATGCAGTAATATAAAAGATGTTGGAACCAAGTTATTATTTTCTATCTTAATTTTAGGTTCTATAATTATACTCCTAAATGTATTTATACTATTTCTTAAGTTGGGAAAGAGATTTTTTCTTCTGTACAGATCACAATAATATTCTCCAATGCAAAAACGAGTACTTTCTCCTCCAAAGGGACAATAAAATCTCCACTTTTAAGGGAAAACAGAAGAACAGAGATTATCCCCCTTTCCGTCAGCCTAGTGAAAGTAATAACACCAAAAAAAATTAATTTAAAACGTGGCTTTATTTCCTCCATGGAATGAAGGAATCATCTCACATAAATTCAATCTTTCACGGCATGCACATGAACAATTACTGCCTGAAAATAATTGTTTGTGTCAGATGCTTTAAAAAGTTTGCAATTTTTTTTTTAATAATTCTGCAAGAAGTTTTACAGCCTGAATTAAAAGAGTGCATGAGATTTAATAGATTATTAGATAAAAATATTCTAAAGACTATCTTTTATAGCTTAATACTCAAGCTTTAATTATACATTCTATTTCAATATGAGATGACTGGATGAGAATTTTAAAGTGTCTCAAACTGAAACTAATTTTGTTTTCTACAGAAAATAAGGTTCTGATTTAGCAAATTCTGGTCTATGTAAGTTTATATATGTGGATTTTCCCAGTTAACTCACAAGGATAATGAGTCCATTTATGTGCTTTAGTTCTCTGCCTGGATAAGGAGCACAGCATTTAGCTCCATAAATAAGTTCATTGTCTGAATGCAAAAATACATCTTCCTAATCTGGGTAAGCAGAATTCATTAACTCATATCATACAAGGAGCGGAAAGTGGTAGTGATACAATGGCCAAAGTAACCTGGGATGTTTCTAAGGAGACTGAGAAGCCTGCATGCTGATCAGCTTTCCAAGCTAGTGATTAACATAACAGTAAAACAGCAAAGAAATAACTGAATGTGCTTCCAGAATTTAAAATGGTGCTTTGGCTTAGCAGAAACATCTCACCCAGTATGGACAGTCTCGTGACAAACTCTCTGGGACAGCTCTGATGTACAGGAGGGTGCTGGAAGCCAGAACTCTGCACAAGGGACCACAAAGCGTGGCTCTATAGCAGATCCCACCTGATGTTTGTGTCTCGTGAAGCAGTTTAAAATGACTCATGAGAGATTATAAAAGATCGAAATGCACTCAGAAATGTTCATGTCCTAAAAGAAGTTTGGAAACTGCTGTTACAGACTAAGAAACTGGATAATAGAAGGAAAAACGAAAACCCTTTACTATGCAGATCTTTTGTTTCCATCCCGGTCTGGAAGAGTCGCAAATACCTCAACGTTGCACACTCAGAAAACAGGACAGGTTTGCCTCCATTCTCACTCATGATTATAATTCAGGCTACTTGAGATTGGCACTGGGTATAGGAATGGAATTTATGTTTCGCGGTTATAAAATTAAGCCTGTCAAAAGCTTTTTCTGAAAATGTTAATAGATAGTGACGGATGACTAAAATGAAGCTATTTTGGAGTGCTCCAACTGCCTGAAGTCTTACAGCAGTGCTGTACTCTACTCACAACCACAAGTGTATTTTACCTGTTTGCTCAAAGGATGAGTTGTTGTTTTAGCACTGTTATTTGCTTCATAAGTTCTCCTTTTGTTTTTCGCCACAGCTTTGTTGTATGTGGCTTTCACTGGGGCAGCTTCAAAGGAATTTGAGTTTCAAATGAGAGTTTCAATTGCTAAAGTGATGTCCAAACCCAGTTTGGTCTGGTTTTGGTTTTGCTTTTTTTTTTTTGTTTTTAAATCTTTGACTGTAGACTACACTGAAAAGCAATACACACATCTACTTTAACAACAATTATGTTGTTCTGTGGGTTTTTTATGTATTTGTTTGGGTTTTCTTAAAAGATGCCTAAGCAAATTGAATCAACTGGTTAGTCAAAGCTGAAATGACACATTCTTTACCTCAGTAAACATTCAAAACCATCCCTGCATGGGCTTACTGGAGCAGCAAGATAATTTATTTATTCATTTAGATTTTAACAAGACTTACCTCATATCCTAGGCAGCACACATACATTAGGAAAAAAAAAAACAACAAACAAGCAACAAAATTCTACATAAACTTTGAAGATCTTAGCAAATTAATGGAATTGCTATGGAAACAGTAATGAAGTGTGTATCTATGGGCAGCTGTGACCAAATCTTCTCCTAAGTGATTAACAAATTAATTGTGGTTCATCCCCTAAAATACTCTCATCTCTTTACTTACAAATTCTTTTTTGCTGCACATGCTTTTGTTTCATGCTTGTTTCAATGCCAAGCCTTTCTGACTTATTATGAAACAAAGTTAATTCAAAGAAGCCTTTATATTCCCCTTATCCAAAGTGATACTTCCCTGTAAGTCCCAACTTTTATTTCCCAGGTGCCTTACATACCCTTATCATCAGAACAGCTTTCCTGATGTCACGAACTCCATCATAAACCAAGCGGGAGGCATCGATGAACTCATTCTCTTCAAATGGCTGTGGGACATTCGCACTCAAAGCTTCAATGGCAACTTCAACTTGTTCAGCAAAACGTGGCATAACTAGATTAAACCAAATAAAAGGCAGTAAGATTAGACACTTTCTTTCATGAACATCTTCCCCCTGCCCTTGGGCATAAATACTTTCCAGTAGAGATGGTACATACTGTTGTTACAATTTGAAGACCCAAAAAGGCTCATGGGGTGGGTTTGTATCGACTCTACACACGCAGAGCTCTGGCACATTTTCTGACAGCATGGAAATAGCCATCTCCATAGTCTCTCCTCCAATTGCACAACAAAGAACATAAAACTTCCTTTAACAAGTGTGATTTGCTAACTTTTAAAAGACTGCAAGCTATCTGAGCTATCAGTAAAGTACATTTGAAAGCTTTACAACTTGGAATGAACACAGTATGTATTTATACCAAATGATCAAAGCAATTGTAGCCGTTATGCCTACTAATTTAGATAACTAAGTGCAATCTAGCTTATATTCAATAATTATAATTGTATAAGGGACAAAACATGTTTAGAATGCAAAATCTAGAAAATTACTTTTGTGAAGATATGTAAATGGACATTCTGTTTCTTCACTATCTTCATGTATATAACACAAAAAATAGACATAGATATTAGCTAACGGTATTATAAACTGTGGTATGAGCTTTTTGAATACATATCTTAAAGCAATTATTTACTTATGTAAATAGTATAAAAGCATTCCTTGAAGTAACCAGAGGCTTTTATTCAAATTTTACACCGGATTCCTTTGAATGTATAATCATACACAGAAAGATACATTACACACACAGAAAGATAAATGCTCCCCAAATCACTCCTCTAACAACTTAAACTCCAGTCCTACACACAAGAACATGAACACCAGATCTCACTAATTATAATGCAAATACACTCCTGTATACTTCTATTCAATATTTTAATGCTAATATATGAGCGTTAAGCTTTCATATAACACAGGACAAATAAAATTAATGCTTCAGTAAAAAACTGGATAAAAAAGACATTGGGATTAATTCTTACAAATTAAGGAATTTGGCTTAAGCCTAAGATTTATAGACAGTAATTTTTTCATTATATTCACATCATTTTATTGTTTTCTTTTTTTCTAGCATCTAGGTATCCATATCATATACCATTGGCTTTATTACTTCAGCATAATAACTGGAAGAATGGGAAAAGATTATTCCTAACTCAGTTGCCTTTTTTTTTTTATAATATCTTTCTTTATCGCGTTGTCCCTAGACTCTATTTTTAATACACTTGTTGGTAGCCTGATCCCAACTGATAAATACAAAGGAGAATTTCTATTGTCTTTTTCATGAAGAGCAGTGACAATCTTTCATAGGAAGTAAACTGTTATACTGTGGCAAGAAACCACATTTTCTTCTTGACTTGTCCTTAAATATACTTTACTCATAACGAAAACTATGTTTTATGCATCTTACTTATCATCTGATTTAAAGTGAAAACACACAAAAAACCATGATTCAAGACTAGTTTACATTTTGAAGAACAACTGGTAGCAAGTATGAGCTTAACATTTCTTTTTCAGGCATTTAAGTATTACTCATTGGATGCTAAAGGAGAACCCTTTAAAGGGATATATCTATTCGAATCTTGTTTATTCTGCCTATATATGTCCAAACGTACAGATATATATGCTATATATACACATCTATCTATATGTATATATGTGCTTAGGGACATGGCTTAGTGGTGGACTTGGCAGTGCTGGCTTAACAGTTGAATTCGATGATCCTAAAAAACTTTTCCAATTCAAACCATTCTAAGATTCTCTATATGTGTTTGTTCATGTACACATATGATGAAAGGACAGATTTGTATCTTTCATGTAGATAATGTTCAATAAATGCTTCATATATATTGCAGAAAATAGGAAAAAGTGACAGCAAGAATAGACTTTGAAAAAGTAAACATTAACAAAACATTGCTAGGCAGAGGGGAAATATTTTAAGTAGAAAAAGAGTTTGAGAGCGCTGGAAGTTTTGGAAAGTATTAACAAATGCATATATCAAATTATCTTAATTAACGGAACACTTGAAAGTGTAGTAGGAGATGAATATGATTGCATAAGGAAGTCTTTAGCCTGAACTTCAAAAAGCAGTCATTAAAAATATGACAAAAACAAGCAAACGTACAGAATAGAAGAAAAATTATTTAGGGTCATAGGGATAAAACAAATAAGGCTAGAGATGGAACAATGGCAACAGATAAGGAGGTAAAAAATCTTAATATTTAATGTCCTTAAATTTCTATCTAGAATTTCCTAAATAGCAGAGGTGGTCAGCTATTTAATATAATTAATAGTAAGTGCAACAGATCTGAATTAGGAATTGCAGTTTTGAAAACATTTACATAAGCATAAGAAAATGTATCTATTAAATATGTCTTCAAGTTAACAGAGCATAGTAAAATTTACCCTGGAGTTCTTAAGAAAATAATCAAAGCAATTTCTGAACCATGTTTGAGAACTCAAGAAAAACAATACAGTGAAAGTTCCAGGGATTTATAAAAAGAAGAAAAAGCACATATCTATTTATATAAAGGTATAGAAGAAAAGAATGAAGAATTACAGGGTATTCAGCCAAATTTCAGTACCCAGACAGAAAATGAAACATGACGTAAAGCAATTACTGTTTAATTATCTTGTAAATAATGAGCAGATGTCGGACAGGCAACAGATTTGTCAAAATACGTTGCATCAAGCTATTACAATATTTTTCTTGACAGGGCAGCTAACTAGTGGGTTGGGGGAACCAGTAGATATGATACAGCTTGATTTTGGTAGGATTTTTGACATGGCCACACATGACATTCTTCAAAACAAAACAAGGGAAATGTAAATTAAATTACTGTAAGGTAGACATGGAACTCATGAAAAAAAACATCTCAAGGAAGAAGTACCTGTGGTACCTTGTCAAACCAGAAAGATATGTCAAGCAGATTCTTGCAGTGTGCCTAACAATGTTATGCTATTGTACAAATTGCAAATGCCAGTCTAGATTTATTACAATATATAGAAAAAGACTTGAGAGAAGATACTGTGAGGCTGCACAGTTAAGCCCTAGTTGCTCTATATCCATTTTTTAAGTACCCAACTGAGATTTCTGTAGCACGCATACAAGAAAGATGTGCAAATGTTTTTTATAACCTCATATTTTGTGGTTGTATCCAAACATATTTCTATGTTTCCATAACATAATTTAGTCCAAATAACATAAATGTTTCTATACCCTTATTCTACAAGCTATTTCTCAATCATATTTAAAATACTCAAATGAAGGAACTTCCACTAACTCCTCAAGGAAATTGTTTATAGCCTGATAGAATTCACTAGTCTGATTTTTTTCCCCAAAAAAAGAAGATAAAGATGCTTATTTTAGTTGACTATTGCAATTAATTTATCTTCTTGCAATATATATTGTAATTTACATTTAACATCAAACATTTTATTTGGGCTACAATTATTGTTTTCCAATTTTGCTTTTTACTTGGCCTTCGAATATGAAAGCATACAGAAAAAGGAGGCAGAGATACATGTTGTATTTGTCTTGCTAGTCTGGTCACAAGCAGATCCCCTGAAATTGTAGTCTTAGGCCCAGAAATCTACAAGGGAGATACAGAAGTGAAATATTTTAAGAGGGTAGTTACTTGCTAAACCAGAACTCCCCTCCGCCCCGTTATCTGGAAAATTAAAGTATTTAACGGGACGCTATAGGGTCTTTGTTCAGCACAATATCCTGCAAAACGCACTACAATACGAAAACACTCCTCACCAGAAATAAACATTTAATTTCTGAGAGATGTTTGAAACTTATATATTACTTTACTAACACAATGCTATTGAACTTAACGATCACACTTCGCTTGTAATGGATGTACAAGAGGAACAAACAGATGCTGGTCACAGCAGAGTTCAATTGTCAAAGGATGACAAGATCTTCCATATTTTTCCATACTCTTTCTGTATGGGATTTTTTCCTTTCTACCTAAATTCTAAAGTCCTTCAGCTCATTCAATGAATCTTTAAATCAATAGTGTTCTGGATTGAAGCACCACTTGTAATTTTCTCACTATGCCACTGGAAAGATGCCAACAGTCCTGACTCCATTTGTTCGTTCGAGAAGCTGCAGTAGCAGATTCACAAGCACCAGGCCATGGGGAGAAGATGGAAAGTTACATTTTGTTTGTTTCAGTGAACATGCAGCGCTCATTCTTGACCACATGTATTACCACGATGACTGCCCATTGGCTGTGAAAGCTTCTTTCAATAATTTTGACCTTATAGACCTTAATTTACATTAATACATGTGAACATGATCTGCAGTTTCAAAATGGAAATAAATAAACTTTAAGATACATTACCAATTGCTTGCTTGCCTATTGCATTTTTACATCAGTGATCTTTTTTTATTAGACAAGAAAGAAAAAACATCTTAAACTAATAAGATGTTATTACTTATAGTTTCTCTAAGCATATGTTGTCATTTAATGCAGTAAAGTTTGGGGAAATTGAGTTAAGAACTGTATTATTCTCTAGTTAAGGTTATTGGGCCACACTTGAGGAGCTCCACAACAGCGATGTATGGGGAAATACCTAACTGAATTGCACCCACAAACCTCCAGCCTTTCTTATCTGTCATTTACTGCACTAGGAAGGATATCCTTATGCTGACAGTGAAAGAGCTACAAGCAAATTTCAGGCAAAGGCACGCGATCCGTATCTGGACTTGAAACTTGTAAATGCATCAGACAGAGGATGATTCATTTATTAGGTACAGGGAGATTATCTATGAATTTCAGATTCAGAAGCAAACATATTTTCAGGGAAAAATTAAATATCGGTTTCTTAGTTTGAACTGTGGTCTTGAAAACTGTTACGCATACACGTAGACTGAAAAATGTGATCCATTAGCATCTCTCAGTATAACTACATGAATTAATCAGGCACCTGCAAAAATGTTGACAGAATCAGGTCCCAAGTTTACAGCAACATTTCCAATTTACTGACATTGTCA